GTGTTGTAAAGACATATCGTTTTCTATACTGTATACATATCACAGGTTTAGTGCTGTAAAGACATACCGTTTTCAATGCAGAACACAGGTTTAGTGTTGTAAAGACATACCGTTTTCTATACAAAACACCGGTTTTATATTGTAAAGATATACAGTTTTCTATACTCTAAACAGAACACAGGTTTAGTGTTGTAAAGACATAGAGGTTTCTATACAGAATACTGGTTTAGTGTTGTAAAGACATACAGTTTTCTATACTGTATACAGAACACAGGTTTAGTGTTGTAAAGACATACAGGTTTGTATACAGAATACTGATTTAGTGTTGTACAGACATATAGTTTTTTATACAGAATACTGGTTGAGTGTTGTAAAGACATTCAGTTTTCTATACTGTATCCAGAATACAGGTTTAGTGTTCTAAAGACATACCGTTTTCTATCCAGAACACGGATTTAGTGTTGTAAAGACATATAGTTTTCTATACTGTATACAGAACACAGGTTTAGTGTTGTAAAGACATACAGTTTTCTATACAAAACACCGGTCTTGTATTGTAAAGAAATACAGTTTCCAAAAGTGTATAGAGAACACAGGTTTTTATGTTGTGAAAACACAGTTTCCTAAACAAAGCACATATTGTAAAGACATACAGTTTCCTATACAGAACACAAGTTTTGTGCTGAAAAGACATACAATTTTCTGTACAAAAAGACTGCTCTGCGTTGTAAAGACATACAGCTTCATATACAAAACACAGGTTTTGTTTTGTAAAGACATATAGCTTCCAATACAAAACACGGGCTTAATTTCTGCTGTGAAAACATACAGTTTCCTGTGGAAAACATAACTATTTTGTTGTAAAGACAGTATTTCAGCCAAATCGTTACTAAATCAAATTATATATACGGTAACAGTTAAAGATAAATTATAAAATACTGTCAACGAAGGACAGTAAAACAACTAGATTATCACAGATATAAATTTAAAACTAGTACTTAAATCTAAAATATTTTAACTATACATGACAATACAATATAAAAACAGGCTATAGATTGCCAACAACAGAAGGTAGATCACCATACTAGGGACCATGGGGACTTACAGTACATTTGCTTTCTGCATGGACCCTAGCTGGATTTACACCATCCCTTCAGCCGTTAGCAAGCTAGCAAAGCTAGCCATACATTAAAAGAATACGTATTCTACGATTAAAAAAGTGGAACGTTTAAATTTACTTCGAATGTTTTTGGACTTACGTACCCTCTCAGGAGGACAATAATTTTACAGTTCTTTACCCCCTTTGAGGATACAGCCACTAACAATCTGTGTTACTAATTCAAACATCCAATCATAAAATATTTATCTATTTACAAATCATTTAGCAAATCTAATTCTTTTAAAAATGCAATAATTAAATGAGAACTTATATTATTAAAAAGATCCTTCATAGGTCGTAATTTGAAATAGTTATAGGACATACATCTTTTAATACAAAACACAGGTTTTGTGTTGTAAATACAATCAAAGTTTCCTTTACAAAACATAGAGGTTTTTTGCTGCAAGTACATGCCGAGTTTCCTGTATTAAACACAGGTTTTGTGCTGTAAAGACGTACAGTTTCCTATACGAAACATAGTTTTTGAAGTGTAAAGACATTCAGTTTCCTATTCAAATAACCGGTTTTGTACACTTCCCTTACAAAACCGAGATTTTGTGCTGTGAAGACATTCAGTTTCCTATACAAAACATAGGTTTTGTACTTAAAGATGTTCACTTTCGTATGCAAAATACAGATTTTGTTCTGAAAGGACATATATTTTCCAATACAAAACATAGGTTTTGTGTTGTAAATACAATCAAAGTTTCCTTTACAAAACATAGAGGTTTTTGCTGCAAATACATGCAGAGTTTCCTGTATAAAACACAGGTTTTGTGCTGTGAAGACATACAGTTTCCTATACAAAACATAGTTTTTGAAGTGTAAAGACATTCAGTTTCCTATTCAAAAAGAAGGTTTTGTACAGTTTCCTTACAAAACCGAGGTTTTGTGCTGTGAAACCATTCAGTTTCCTATACAAAACATAGGTTTTGTACTTAAAGATGTTCAGTTTCCTATACAAAAACATAGGTTTTGTACTTAAAGACATTTAGTTTCCTGTACAAAACATAGGTTTTTTTTAGTTTTCTATACTCAGGACAGGTTTGATGCCGTAAAGACATACAGTTTCCTATACAAAACACGGGTTTTTTGTTGTAAATACAATCAAAGTTTCCTTTACAAAACAAAGAGGTTTTTTGCTGCAAATACATGCAGAGTTTCCTGTATAAAACACAGGTTTTGTGCTGTAAAGACATACAGTTTCCTATACAAAACATAGTTTTTGTAGTGTAAAGACATTCAGTTTTCTATTCAAAACATCGGTTTTGTACAATTTCCTTACAAAACAGAGATTTTGTGCTGTGAAACCATTCAGTTTCCTATACAAAACATAGGTTTTGTACTTAAAGACGTTCAGTGTCCTATACAGAAACATAGGTTTTGTACTTAAAGACATTCAGATTCCTGTACAAAACATAGTTTTTTTTACAGTTTTCTATACACAGCACAGGTTTTATGCCGTAAAGACATACAGTTTCCTATACAAAACACAGGTTTTGTGCTGTGGAGACATCGAGGTTTTTATACAAAACACAGGTTTTGTGGCTCACTAGAAGTCAAGCCTTTCAAAAAGCAAGTATATTTTTTTATCATAAGGCGACAATGTTTAAGTAAAGGCTTTATGACTTCGATGCTGACATTTAGCAAGATAATGATTAATAAAAACCCAACGGTAAATGAAATCAGTCTATGTAAAGACGTAGTTATGTTCATCCATTAACCATTGCAGATGCAGTTGCAATCCTGGACAAGGGTTTTCCTCCTTGCGGAGGATGTCAGCTTACTGTATCACCTTGTGGAACTCAGGATGTGCCGCCAGAATGGAAGAACCCCGCACCGGAACCTCAGGCATGTAAAGAGGCGGTGGAGTAGCCTAGTGGTTAAAGCATTCGCACGTCTTGTTCTATTCCCCACATGGGAGCAATGTGTGACAGCATTAAACAAAAACCAAACCAAATATAATGTGTGAAGCCCATTTCTGGTCTACCCCGCCATGATTGCTGGAATATTGCTAAGAGCGGCGTGAAATAATGTATCATTTTTTTCTAATATTCCATGTTTTGGTTATATTTCCATTCATTTCAAAACAACAATATATATATCTGTGCTTATATATGTGCATATACATGTACACAAGATTGGATTTCATTTAAATGTCATATCTAAAACATTACACAGGGTTGCTGAAAAGCATATGTAGAGACGACCATAAGACCAGACGATAATATAATGGCGTAAAACTAAACTCACTCACTCACTCCTATCAAGTTCTCTGATAGGTATTTGCATGTCTCTGAAACGGCTTCAGGTTCCTCACATGTGGATGTAGCAGAAGCGCTTTCTCAAACTATTCCAGTACTCACAAGCCACGGGCATATTGTACAATCCAATATTAATACAATATAGACAATTCATAGAGTATATACATATTTACATTAAATCATATCCTGAGTATAATAAACAATTCATAGAGTATATACATATTTACATTAAGATCATATCCTTAGTATAATAAACAGTTCATAGAGTATATACATATTTACATTAACATCATATCCTGAGTATAATATACAGTTCAAGAGTGGTGTTCCTCTTCAATAAATTTTAAGTTACATAGTTTGCAAGTTCTTTTTTCTCGGTTTATATTTGTATAACGGCCAGTTTCATCAAGGAGATAATGGACAACAAGTTAAGAGTGGTGTTCCTCTTCAATTAATTTTAAGTTACATAGTTTGCAAGTTCTTTTTTCTCGGTTTATATTTGTATAATGAATGTTACCATAAAGCGTTTCGTGTCTGTTTATGTCATTACAATTGGAATTTCAACATGGAAGTAGCCATCTTTGATTTATGCATAATTTGAACAGTGAGATAGCCACCTTTTGTAGTAAACGTTTGTTGAAGACAATATATTCGTGATTAAAAACATAGTAAACATCATCTCAGAAAGCCCTAAACCAATGAAGCTGATACTTCAAACAATTTTCCCGCCAATATTGACACCCGAATGTGTTTACAAATTTCGAATCTGATTTACAAATGGCCACGATGGCTGCTATATTTAAAAACCTATCTATGGCCATTGTCATTTCGCCCCAGTAAGCACTGCGTTAGTGGCTCTGTAAAAATTTCTCCTGAAATTGCCAGAACAGGATCGGAGCAAAACGTTGGCAAGCTTTATGTTTTTGGCTATGGTATTACTTGAAGGGCTATGTGTTGCAGTATGTATTGCTTGTTCTGCAAAAATAGAACCACTCTTTAGAGATGACCGTTTTCAAGCATGTATAAGAAGCTAAACCGAAACGTCGCTATTCTGAAATTATAGAAGTTGATCATCCATAAAGTCTTGTCATCTCTATACCATCATTTTGTAGAATGCCACTCAAACAAAAATCATTCTTGCCGGTTTTGAAACATTGAGGAAATGAAGTTACTTGTTTTCACTTTTGTTAATATTGTTTTCATCAGAAGTTCTGTCGATACTGTTCAATACTGACAGCAGCTGTTTTTCCTTCCTGATATTTTATCTATTGCCAAAATATTCTACTGAGATGCAGCAACATAGCCTATTATTCAGTCAGTATTTCAGTTTATTGATATTGAGAAAATAAACCAATCCAAACACTACCCGTATACGTGAACGACATTGTTTTTTTCGCTAAAAGGTTCTTAATCTGACTGCTTATATACTGAAATCCATGTATTTGTTTAGGGTTTTCTTTCAACCAAAGGGCTACTTGTGTTTGCATAGGTGGCTGACAACATTACAAACACAATTACAAATAAAATGTATAATAATTTAATATATGATATTAATATTATAATAAAATAAATTACAGATGACGATGCATTCTCTGAGTGCAAACAGTGGTTCCTCATCCCCTACAGAAAATGATCGGCTTCGTCAGGACATTCCAGAAGAACCGACACATTTTGAGTCGATGAACTACAATGTGGAAAATCCGCAGACGCGGACGAGAGCAGGTATTTGTGAAGAATTCATGTCATTGAACATGAACTATTCCAGCACAGCCGGAAGTCAACAGACTTCACATGGTTTTCGACCAAGATACCCAAATTATGTTCCTTACAACCATCAAGTGTATCATCCGGGCATTCCAGGTCCTGCTCATCCACAACGGCCATTTTATCTTGTCGATCCAAACCAGTTTTACTACCGGCAACATCCTTACCAGTACCCACGTGTTCCTGTTCCAAGCTATCAGGGACAACCACCTCTGCTTGATTCAATTTATCCATATCCGCCACATTTTAGATATGGTCCACCGTCACTGCAACCTCCCCCGCCACCACCACCGCCACCGCAACCTCCCCCGTACAGAATGCCAGCATCGTCCCTCTCCGTCGACCACCCAGCCAGTTCCGCTAATGTGGCAAGACCTCTAGAAAATACCACACAGCATATAGGTGAGAACAATTCAATGAGGTCATCTATGTTTGTTTGGTTTCCGACCATTAGAACCAAAACAAGTCGCAAGTTATAAATGTCAAGAAGAGATTGTATGTGACCAACCCTTTGGACAATTTGTTGAGTGCTTTTGTCATTCCAGTGAAGTGACAATAACGTTTTAAAAATTCAATCTTAAATGGCAAAAGGAGAGTGTATGTGACCAATCAATTTGGACAATGTTTTGAGTGCATTTGTCATTCCCGTGAAGTGTAAATTACGTTTTAGAAAACCTAGTCTTAAATGGCAAAAGGAGAGTGTATGTGACCAAACAATGTGGACAATTTGTTGAGTGTTTTTTGTCATTCCAGTGAAGTGTAAATAACGTTTTAAAAATATCACTCCAGGTCACCAACTGAAGTATCCTGACGAAATGAATACAAGAAGAACAATTGAAGTCCATGGGTGTGACTTCGGTTCAGGAAGTTTGGATAAGTACAGGTTCTTTTTTGAAAATGAAAGACGAGGAGGAGGAGATATAGAAAACTTCCAACACGACGAGGAAAACAACATGCTTGTCATTACATTTAAAGACTCTGAAGGTATGTGTTCTTGATTTGATACTTTAATGTCAGCAATGCATGTACATGTAAGTATCGTGTCTATAATTTATAAGAAGCAGAGTTGCGTCCCTAGGGCGTTACTTACATATATGATAGTACTCAATGTCCGTTTTTTTTTGCTTATATAATAAATAACATGACAAGGGGCCAAAACCAAATCATTCAGCCGATTTAAGTGCATTTTAGATCATTCTGAGTGATGTCTCCTTCCTGTTAAGATTAAGGTGAGGTGAAATTGGGTTTTACGTCGTGCTTGAGAATATTGCGCTCATATGACGACGTGCATGCGTGTGTATGTGTAGGTGCGGCTGATTGTACTAGCCCAAACTAAAGCTGGTTTTATAGTGCTAGCCCACTGAGATACCATGCCGCAGTGAAGCACGATTATACCCCACTTCCGGTCTCGTTGCCATCGTTTCCTTTGTTAAAAGTGTAGGTGTATTGACCGGTACACCTGTCAAAAGTGTAGGTGTATCAATGATACACCTACACTTTTTCAATAGGGTATACCGAAGCAATGAAGACACAACAAACGGCAAAATATAATTTTATTTCAATGGACTCACATAGAGATTTCGATTGTTTCAAAATCTTCCATATCATCCAGGTCAAAATGTGACGCTAACGAACTGTCAATTTGAGAAAGAAAATCCTCTGTCTACTCTTCAGCAACCATGGCCGACAAACGTGGGATCTTCAAAATGTGTTCTGTGCCACATGCGAGTCAGAGAACGCATGAGCATTGGTCTGCCCATACAAATGTCAATTATCAGTAATATTGCGCATATTTTGAAATCATTCTCGCGCCCGAACTGGTTTTTAAATCGTGTGAAATCGTGCAAGCCCGTGCATGCACGTGCAATCGACTGCTTATAGTCTATTTGCAGTGACAACATACCGATGAATATCACATAAAAAAGTAAATCAAATAAAGTGAAACTTAGGTTGCAAATCCCCATAATTTTAACTTGCCTATTGAACATCAGTATCAACAACAACAAAGTGAGTGAGTGAGTTAAGATTTTAAGTCACATCGGCAATATTTTAGCCATATCGTGACTACAAACAAGTTATAATTTTACAATAGATAAAGGTAAATTATAAAAACCTGTCAACAAAGGACAGTAAAACACCTAGTATATCACAGATTTCAATCTAAAACTGGTATTTAACACTAAATACTTTAACTATAGAGGACAATACAATATAAAACAGGCTATATATTGCCAACAACTGAAGTTAGATCACCATGCTAGGAACCATGGGGACTTAAAAACAACAAAGTCGTATAGGGATGGTGACGTTATTTCCTGTGTGTTTTATAGATGGAAACGACAAAACCGTTACCACTTTCGTTAGAAATTTTGTTAAAAGCAGAGTCGATTTACAATATTGACAATATCATGAGTATGTGTTTGTTTGACGCTGCATTCTGCAACACGGTCTTCAAAGAATCGAGATTTGACCTGACAATCCAGTGATTGACACACTGATAAATGATGACTGAGCATCTGTTTATGAATCTCTATAAAATAGTGATGTTCGCGACAAGGAGAGTGTACCCTGCACTTATGATACACACACGGAAAAGCGTTTCATCTGTTCACCTGAAATTTGTTACAAGTATGAATTGCATCAGACATCGTTTTTGTCAAATTTGGAATGTTCTCCACATGTCTACCCTAAAACATTTTTAATTTTTACTGAGGCCTTGAATTTTGTTACCTCGATCGAAACAAATTCTGAGCAAGAGTCATATGATGGTCCTTGGAATCATGGAAAAGACATCATGCTCGATTGTACTTCAAAAGTTGTATAAACCGAGTCAGGATCTCTTGGAATATTGCTCAACATGAAAGGAAAGTTGACTATTGCAAGTTCAAAACATCCCAAGGATCTCTTGGAATATTGCTCAACATGAAAGGAAAGTTGACTATTGCAAGTTCAAAACATCCCTTTTGTCATACAGCCTGAATGTTTGGTACTCCCCAAATCCAGGATTTACTTTTACTTTTGTTTGCAGACGATATTGATACGTTTTCATTTATGGTAAACGGTTTGCAGAGACAGCTGAATATTCTTCAAACATTTTGTGACACATGGGGATTAGAGTTGAATATGGATAAATCTAGTATAGTTGTTCTTAGAAACGGGGGTATAGTGGCACATTCTGAAAAATCTTCGAGTCGATATTAAATTGGTCCATGGCATGTAGAACCCTCGCAGCACAAGCTAAGAAGGCATTAATTTCTATTTTCAAACCTTTTGAAGTAAATAAGTTTATTTCATTTGATTCTGCTTGCTTACTTTTTGACACTAAAATAGCAACAATTTTGTTATACGGATCAGAAAATGTCTATGCATCCTATTTTAAAAGATTTCTTACAGCAGGTAAATGTGCTTTCAATAAAGCTATACTTGGCGAAATAGGACGTTATCTATATAACATGCATATTGAGAGTCAAATGAGAGTTATTAGATACTGGATTAAACTTAATTCCTGATTATCGCTACCCCCACCAAAGCTATCAACTATTGTTATCACTAGATAATTGTGGAAAGCATTATGGACTTCAGATGTTAGAAATATGTTATTTTCAAGTGGGTTTTCTTATGTTTGGTTTAAGCAAGATGTTGGTGATATAAAAATATTTTTGTCAACATTTAAACAACGAAAACAAGATATTTATGTTCAGAATTCGTACGCATCAGAAAATTTATCCAGTTTTCTTAGTCATTATTCAAAATGTAAATCGATGTTCGGACCTGAAAAATATATCAGTGTTCTTAATGATAAGTCCCTTTTAAGAATTTTTTGTAAATTTAGAATCTCTCTACGTGCCTTAAAAATACAACGTTTTAGAAAAGATAATAATACATTGGAAGATTTATCATGTTCTTATTGTTCTTCTGGTATATCTGAAGATGAACACCATTTATTAGTCTGTGATGCCTTCTCTGCCTGCCGAAAGAAGTATTTAAAATACTCTAATGATACCCTACAAACGATATATGATGTACTTAATTCTAATAGTGCTGATATTATCAAATCTGTTGCCATTTTCATAAAACATTTGATGTCCATCCGTAAATCGCATGTAAAACTATAATTTCATGTCACGTGACCAATAGTTGAAATTGTGCATCTTCAATTGTTCTTTGGGCCACTGGGCCTTAACTACTGAATAAAACCTGTCTGTCCGTTTGTCTTTCTGTCTTGTGGAGAGTTTATTGTCACTCTAAATCTGTATGCGTAAATCTAAAATGAAACAGTTGAGGCGGTTTCACTTGCCTCCTTAATTTCAAGTTCAGGATTGTAAATCAGTGGAAGGGAATTGGTTGTTTGATGGTTATTGAATGATATCACGTCATCGCTCTACTTGAAGTGTAATTTAAACTTCTTGGCCAAATTACCTTGGTTTGATTTTGTCAACCTGAGCAGAAATTCTAATTGTATGCACAAAGAAACAGATCCGCAAGGAGGGGAGCACAATTGGTGCCCATGAGGATGCCTACTTCTTGTCGAAATGTTTTGCCCCAACATTTTACAATAAGTTATGGAGAAGTCCAACATTTTACATATTGTTTTATCAGTAAATTACATTTGCTTTAGATTTTGATCAAATGTCCCACAGCTCTGAAATTAGATATGAAGGTATATCTTGGTTTATATGTTTATTTACAAATGCCCCATTAATCAAGGAATGAAGTGTTTCCTTAAGTTTGTCATGTCGGATTCATATGGTTATACCTCTGCTTGTCTCAAACACTTTCTGTGATTATCGAGAAAGAACTTCCTTAATAGTATTATGGTTAATCATTGAGAAAAGGATTTGGTGGTAAATATGCTAGACCCAGCAATATATCTCTCGTTAAGAGTTCGGTAATAAAGTATTGTCGGAAATAGAAAAAAAACCCGTTTTTAGGCTGTTAAAATGTATCCCTATAATTGCAAATAGCATATGTCGAAATAACCCACATCGGCCTAACTGGGCATTCAGTGGGATGCCTAATAGGATATCCAGAAGAGCATGTTTACTCGTAAAATCAGGCAAATTTACGAATAGCTGCACTGAAAACAATAGATCAGACTATAGATACCACTTAGGTCAGACAGGTATGACGACGGACCGTCGACTCAATTAGCATGGAATGCATGGAATGTGCTTCCTACAGGCACAGTGTCATCTCAAAGATATTTTATGCTTTTCTTTGTGTGTTGAATATGTCTCATCTATTATTTCCATCTTACGTGTCTTTCTTTCTTAAAGTTTATGTTCAGTTATGTAAAAAGTATGATACCCATAGAAAAGCTTAAATCAGCAATCGTATTTAATGTCTCCAAATATATAGGTGGCACGACAATCCGAAGATTTGTAAATTGTTATGACATGCCGTTTAATTCCCCAGTTTAATTCCCCATAAGGATTATGTTATCTTAGCTGATATCTCTATCCCCCAGCCCGACCCCAACCACCGTCTGCGACACCCGTTCTTGTTTTGCTTTTGAGACGACCCCTCCTACCTGTTTCTTTCTATAGTGATAGTGAGACTTCATGGTGGCTACATCCTTAATAGTTTCAGTATTAAAGTTATTATGTTTTCACGTCACCTATCATTTATGATGAAGCCAAGTCTAATTTCAAAATTGGCATATAAAAATTGTCCTTTGTAGTACAATATCATCGCACTCTAATTTGCATAAAAGCCATGGTCTTTTTCAAATAAGTGGATTTGGACCGCATTGCTCATTTCTGCCCTAATCTCTACTCAGTAAAGTCCTTTTTGACGTTTCCCATCTCTACCACTGGGACTATAGTTAGGCCAAACTTAGTTTATCAGAATATTTTCTTACACATATTAACTACATAAATTGTAGATGTAAATGTGAAAAAAACCAACTTTTTTCTATTTCCGACAGTACTCTACATTTGTTTGAATATTTACAGTCACACAGAGGCTCGTGGAGATGGGCAAAAGTTACCATAGCTTAAAGAAGAAGCGGAAATAAAACCTTATACGCCCTTGCCAGTCTATGTGGACAAAGTTCTTTTGAAGTACCCAGGTGCACACCACGATGAGGGCTCTGAGGTCCTATCCATTTATCTTGAAGCAAGGGCCAGTATTGAGGTCAAGAGCGTTAGGAAAGGAGCAAAAGATGATGCGTTGTTAGTAGCGTTCAACAGCCCTGTTGGTAAGTTCAGTAGCGTTAGTTCATAACGAACTGTCAGGATGTTAAAATCCACATATTTTAGTCAGCGTTTTAGCGAACTGCGGATACTCGGCATCCTTTTGCGCTGACGTTGAATATATGCGCGTGTCGACATATCTAGATTGGTCTGTGTTTATGTATATCTTTGTATATTATCATACTTGCTCTTACAGCCTCTAACAAGCGAAGCGGTTAGGTATGCCAAGTGGTTAAAGCGTTCGCTCGTGACACCGAAGACCGGGTTCGATTCCCAACGTGGGTAAAATGTGAGAAGCCCATTTCTGGTGTCCCCCGCACGCGTGATATTGCTTGAATATTGCTAAAAGCGGCGTAAAACCAAACTCACTCCTCACTCTAAGAAGCGACATTATGCCCTTCTTTCAGATATACCCAAACTCCAGACAGCCTGTAACCTGAAACCATTCCAAACAAAAGCAGTCACAGTGTTCAAAGTACCTGCCACCAAGGTACTGATAGCTGAGCATGTCCCAGTGTCAATTGCCCCGGAAACCATTTCGGATTACTTCGAAACCCGAAAATGTGGCAATGATATGCAGACGGAAGTAGTCAAAGTTGAGGGATTCGGTCAAGATGGATGCTACCTTGTCCATTTTGCTGACCACAGAGGTGAGGAAAAAGACCAATGGGGATTAAAGTTTATTCAGTCTTGAATTAAGTACTGATTACTGATATGTACTAAATCACTGGTGACATGAAAGGCATAGTGGTGGCTTCAATAATATTGATATCAATGAACATATAGAAATGAGGTATGAAAGAACACATTTACCTGTTAAAACGTAATTCGTTTGTTTCCTTAGTTGTTGAACAGATAAGCTCAAGAGTGCACACACTTGGAGAAGAAAGTATAAAAGTCCATCTCCATCACAAATGCATAGGACGGCAGTCTCCCGAGTTCACTGACGCTACATTATTTCAGATGTCAGGTGGTGTACTTGTTGAAGGTGTTCATCAACTTGTACCACGATTTCTTAGGAAGTCACCCAAGGTACTGAGAAACATTCAAGAAAAACTAAGTGGTTACGGATTGTCACTGGAGTTGAATGAATCCAACCAAGTGTTCGTTGTCCGGACAGCTGGCAGCGAGTGTGAATCAAAGGCTGCTGGTGGAATAGATGTTCAGGGTTTGGCCAGGTCAGTCATCAATGAATTTGTTCTTCAGTTTTCGGTTCCAATTCCCAAAGAATTGCGGGACAACGTTGATACAATGGTAAAACAGATCAGTGTTGATGAAACAGAGGCAAAGATGTTCACTGACAAGCAGGTCCTAGCAATTGTTGGTATTCCCTCGAAAGCTAATGAAATCAAAGGAGACGTTGAGAAGCACCTTGCCGATAGAATATCCTCAAAAATCCTGAATAAAATCGTAAATGAAGAAGTGAAATCTTTAACACCTCTTAAAGTCAAATTTCTACGGGAATGTGGCTTTAATAAGGGAATGAAACAATTCTCAGGCGTGAGTGTCAGGTTTGATGGAAATGTAATCAATCTGTCTGGTCCAGAGGCCTCTGTGAAAGAAGCAAAGATTCAGTTGTATGAACTTGCACATGGAACGCAAACTTCAGTGATTGAGCATATTTCCCCACAGCAGCTGGCTGTGCTTCAGAAGATGACAGTTGAGGATACCGTTAGGGAAGAAATGAAGAGAGCTGGAATTGGAGCATCATGGCATGCAAAAGAGTCATCACTAGAAGTAATTTCAACAAGTGAAGAAAACGTAAGGCAATTTACTGAAATGCTGCTTCGTATTGTGGTGGAAAGAATTGTTCTCCTTGAAGGAAAAATGCAGTTAGTGATGCAATCAGAATCGTGGGCAAGCTTACAGAAATCGTTGGTTGATTATTTGTCTGACACCTTCAGTATTCAGAATGTCCAAGACAAAGGTTATCTTCTCATTGCTGGGTTAAAGGATGATGTGGAAAGTGTGTATGCTAAAGTCACAGAGTTCCTGTCATCCAACACAGTTAAGGAGACATGTCTTAAGTTTCCCAGAGGAGTGCACAGATTCCTTCTGGCCCACAACAAAGATGCGGTGGCAACAATTGCTAAAGATTTGAAGGACTGTCATGTCCGAATAGTATACCAGGAGAATGGAGCGGAATTTACCATTAATGGCTCCAAAGAAGGAATAGACCAAAGCCGAAAAGAAACTGACCTCCCTTGCTGATAAAGTCAAACCCATAAGGAAGTGCTACAGAAGCTGGCATGGCCAGAATGCTGAAAACAGCGAAAAGGTGGAAGGATTGTCTCTCATGTCGAGAAGATTGAAAGGTGTATGATTGAAGTTATTAATGGGGAGGAGAAGGAGGAGGGAAGAAGAAAAACAAACAGGACAAAATGCAGCAGCCAGCTCAGAGCCAGCATCTACAATAGTGGCTGTACTCCAACATAGCTGGTGGAAGGAAGCTCTATGTGAGAAAGGAGACATTACCACCACGAAAGTCAGTGCTATTGTCAATGCCGCTAACGAGACATTAGATCACTGTAGAGGTCTTGCCAAATACATCGTTGACAAAGGTAATACCGAATTTTCAAAAGTAATAAAAAATGTACAATGTCCAAAATTAGTTGAAGTTTAATTGTTGGTTGTATATTATAAAGAAACAATATTTACAAATGCATACATGGTTAGGCAAGTGTTTAATACGGATAGGTGGATTGATCAGCCGTATAAAATCTGGCAGGAAAGAAAATGAATTTTGGACTAATTTCAGGTGGACAAAATACAAGAGGGTGTGACAGGCATGTGAATTCTATGGTCAGCTTCTGGATGGAAGGAATGCTGTGTTGTCTGGTCCAGGAAGACTTAAGGTAGCTGTGACTTCATTATTGCATGCAGTAGGGCCAAGATGGGAAGGAGACAAAAAGAAAGAAAAGGAACACTTGCGGCTGTCACCAGAAGTCTGGAACTTACAGACGGACGTGGGGTAGTTCCATTGCAGTACCTGCTTTGAGTGCTGGGATATTTGGATATCCACAGATGCTGCTACAAAAAAGTTATAACAACTGCAGTGAGGGCTACCTTCAGAACATAAATCCAGTACAATCAAAGATGTATATTTCTGCAGATGAACGCAAAACTGTGGACAGCTTTGTAAAATCTCTGCAAAATGTCTTGGGGAAACAAATGTACTCGATTCAACCACGATCACAAGGAGGGCAGGTGCTCAGATGCAGCGTTCATCCCGCAAATTACCGAAAAGTGTATCTGGTATGTCCGGCTTGACTGTTGCAATTAATAGAAAGAAGAGACCTCGCCATCCTATTTCTTAAATCATTTTAGTTGTATACAGTAACTGATTCACAAAGGGTATATTTCTGACAAATCATATTTGCACATTTATTTTATTCGTACTTACATCAATAATCATGTTGGCCAATGGCTGCCATGATGAGCCATCTTTCTATCAGTGTAATGAAAGCAAAGTTGAATTTGAAGGCGACGTTCCTTTCATCCTTTTGGCGTCGCAGCAAGACATGTGAGTGTATATGTGCATAAAATCTATAGCGCCACTCATCCCATGTTCTAATTGTATATATTTGTTAATTGTAGCACAAACAGGGATGGAAAGTGGATATAAAGTAAAGTTGGTTGAAGGGGACATTGCTCAACAAAAGGTTTGAAACTTTCAATTACCCGTATTTATCATCGTCTGAATCTAACTACCTGGCAAAAGAAAGTTCTCACCAACTTCACTTGACCCAAAAAAATTAGAAACAAGGACGTATGTGAGATTTATGACAATTATTTTTACAAACTTTGACTGAAATTCATTGTAATGCTGGTCTTGCATTTGTCGTTATTCATTGAGAAAGAGTCATATGGTCAATGGTCAAAACTAAAACTTACACAAAGCAGAGTTCATTCAAAAGTCACATAATGAGACAGGACTCAGGGGACACATCATCAGGAGCGAGTGTGACCACCATGGGCATCTATACAGACCAACACACGTCTCCTTATTGTCAGTCGGCGGATGACGTCAACGGGAATCTCGCTCCGTAAGTCCAACAGAGTCTGTTCCTGTCGGTTCACTGGAGGTGGTACACGCTGTTTCAGCTGTCGATCAAGATGATCCCAGAGAAGTTCAGTGGGGTTCGTGTCCATTAGTCAAGGCAATAGATTGACGTTAACGTTGTCAAGGTATTCATGAACAGTTCTGGTGGTGTGAGGCCCTGTGTTGTCGTCCTACAAAATGATTCCTCGGATGATAACCAGTCTTGTTCTCTGGCCACAAATGCCGTCCTATACTATGATGCCTTTTCCGTTGAAAGGATGAAATTCTTGAACGCACTTTCGGTCGCTCTCCTCTACGTTGAAAAACCCAAACTCTGCCATCGTTTCTGAATCGACGTTCATCTGTAAAGATCACTCTCTCGCAGTCACGTCGCTGCCACCATCACGCAGTTCGTGTCCATTGCAGTCTGCGTTGACGGTGTAGACGGGTAAAGACCATTTCACGGAGGGGGCAGTAAGGCTCGTATTCCAGCCATACCAAAATGTCGAAAAATTAGGAGACAGAAGCAGTTAATTAGTATAAACTGAATTTTTACTCTGATAAATATACATTGTTCATTGTGTTCTAGGCAGATGTTATTGTCACCACAGGAGCATGGACATGGAATTACAAAATGAAGGGCCAGTGGCTATGAGACTTATTGAAGTCGGTGGACCAGAATTACAGGCTGCCCGTGGGAGAGAGAAGGCAATAATCCTGGTCAATTGTTATCACATCTGGTTACAAGCTGACCTGCCAAAGGTGTATCATGTTTATTTGAAGCCATGCTCACCACTAACACGATGGATTTGTTTCATCAGTCGCCGCCAAAGGTACCAAAGCTAAAGCTGTATTGGAAGAAACAATTAATGCCATTGGTGACAGGTGTCAACATTGGTAAGCTTCAAAAAGGATTGTAGACATTTTCTGGATACTGGAATAAAAAAGTGTACTGGTGTATGTTTGGTGGAGCGGGTTTCCTATCCCTTAAAGTTTTGAGTGACATGTAATAGGTCACTTTCGCGAGGTCACGTCATTACATGAGTCTCAAATTACTTGTCTAATTAATTAATTAAAAACAAAAGCATTTTCCATGCTCGAAGTACGAACTCATATATCATGGTTGTGCTAAGTGTCATGGTCACTTTGAATTTAATTCCTCGTAAAAATAACTCAATAGTTTCATTCTGGAAGCAATGGCGTATGTGAAACATTGATTTGCACCATAATAGTTTACCAGGGAAGATATTGCGAAAGGATGATGTTGAATGCAACACCAATTCAGCAGTTCTCGTGATATTTCATTTTGTTTCTATTGCAAACCTTCAGTTTGGAATAAATACATACGTCGCCATATAGCGCTGGTGATAATACAAACAGTAAACATGCCGTTATTAGATTTAGCGTTTATTCTGTTGATGGCCATAACTGTGTCTGTCCTCACACCTCTTTTCGTGAATTTCAGTTGAACATAACGAATTTTTTTCAGGATGTCACAGACATAGTGAAGGAATGTAACAACTTCTGGCCGACACAACTTTTTCAAGCATCGCAATGCACCAGCACTTGGTACGGGGAATGTTGGATATCCCAGATCTGGTAGCCGAAGCTATGTTAACACCTATACACGACTTCTGGGCCCAGAACAGGGACATCCCTAACAGACATACGAGTTATCCTGTACCCTAAGAATACGGAGATCATACAGGTTGAGTGTATTTCTATTCACATCACAATCTTTGTGTTACACCATAAAATGTTAAAGTCGGTCTTCAGTATTCATCGAAATAGAGTGTTTGTATTCAACGGGTGAATCATATGCCCAATGCACTTGTAGGATTAAGAATATATTAAACAGCCTCATTATATGTAAACGTTACCTTAAACTTCCAATGGTTGATCACCAAGGTAACGGCTGATCACCTTATATTATAACAAAACTAGGAAGATTTGTGAGATTCATGATACCAGTAAGTAATATACCATTGTCTACACACATCAGTGTTGGGTTACTTTGATGAAATGGAGGTCTGAAACCAACATGACATAAGCTAATTTGTTTACTTTCTGATAGGAATGCTATATGTTGATTACACAGGTGTTTAAGGATAAAGCCCAGAAAATGGAATCGGATGGACAAAGAACTTCACGTGAGTTGTACACATGTCTCTTTTAGTTTAGTGCCTCTGTAGTTTATGTCACAGGATCGTAGTATAAAGTGGATACCAAGCAATGCTAATGCGGTTACATTAGCTTGCACAGAAATCCATGACAGGTTCCCAGCTTCCTCCTGTGATTGGTGATAGACTAAGAATGACGTAATGTGATTACATGTGACCATGTTTACCGTTGTGGCACTAGCAATGATAAATCATCATTTTCGTTAGTCAGCCACTTGCCTATCTGCCACAAACTCGTGCGCACACAGGATGGGTCAATGCACGGGTGCTGGTTGCAGTCCAGCACATGTTCTGGAGAGGAATGTTGTGCTACCGGGTCTCGATGAGGAAGGTGATCCATGCGTGGATCAATTACCGGGTTTAAAAGATCAAACGCAAGGAAACATGATTAAACAACATGTACACACATGCATGTTTAAGACGGTTTGATACATTAATGAGAATGCATTTTTGTTTGAAGCGACATGTTTCCTTCCTTCATACATGTACATTTGCAATTTACCACATTTGTTAGATTGAGTAATAATGGGAGTATTTACCATATCGTATTGCCTGGAATGGTAGAGATTGATAGAATCGGCAAAACGAGAGCAGCAATTGGTTTCCATGGTTACGGGCACCAATTGTGCTCCCCTCCTTGCGGGTCTGTATTTTTCTGTTTAGCAGAGATTTCTTCTGGATGTGGAAGAGAGGGTTTGTCGCTTATCTTTACCATATCATAATTACTGGAATGGTAACCTATTATTTCAGTGAGGCTGAGGGGTAAAGTGATAAAATTTGCAAACTTGAGTAACAGCTCCGTCTTGGTTTCCATAGTTATGATTCTCAATTACACGAAAGAACGTTCACCAACAGCATTCTCACAACCAGATATCAGGTCTCTACCTCACATATCCCAAATGACTATGGCCATTATACATTGTCAATGTCTTATTTTGAACCCATGGCTACATTGTAATTCATGATACCAGTAAGTAATATACCATTGT